CCCCTTACTATAATTTAAGAGGAAAATTAAGTTTTCTATTTGGAAAATATCGTCGAAGTTATGAAACAAAACAATTTTCTTCTTCTAAAATGTCCTACTTTACTTGATTTTATTCTATTAATGTTAATGTCTAAATTTCAGAAGATGAGAAGCAAATTCCCCACCCCCTTCACTTCTATTTCAGAAGAAAATAAAGTTTTCTGCCCCCTTACTATAATTTAAGAGGAAAATTAAGTTTTCTATTTGGAAAATATCGTCGAAGTTATGAAACAAAACAATTTTCTTCTTCTAAAATTTCCTACTTTACTTGATTTTATTCTATTAATGTTAATGTCTTAATTTCAGAAGATGAGAAGCAAATTCCCCACACCCCTCACTTTTATTTCAGAAGAAAATAAAGTTTTCTATTTGGAAAATAGATTCAAAGATGAAATTTTTTTTAGTTACCAATTTCTATTATTTTTTAGCACTTTGAAATTTCAAAAGGGGGGAAACACTATGTTCGCCCCCTCATTACTGTTTCGGAAGAGTGAAAATTGGAAATAAAATATTTTTTCCACTTTCACTTTACTTTTCCATAAGTCAAAAAACACATTAATCGCCCATAACAAAATAAAGTTTCCTACTTGATGTATAACTTCAAAGCTGAGAAAGAATAGCTTTTTTTTTCTTCTTCTCTAAAATTACCTATTTTAATGGACTTCGTCTTGGCGAATAACTAAATATCAGAAGAGGCAAAGCACATAAATGTTAGTGGAATATAAAGTTTTCTTATTTCAAAAATAGCTTCAAAATTGAATTTTTTTTTTTAAATTACCGATTTTACTTTATTTTTGTGAGTGTCTAAATTTCAGGAGGGGCGCAACGCATCGTTTGCCCCATCACTTAAATTTTAGAGGGGCCCTCTGCTTCCCCCTGGCTGGCACGCCACTGGGTCTGACGCTAGATAGTAGAGGAAACAATGTAAACCAGAAGTGCAATGTACAGAAAATGTTAACAATCATATACATGCAGCTGTGGCCTTTCCCCTTCTCTGCAAAGCGTGTTTGTTCTTATGAGAAAGGGAAATAATTCGCGAAAAGCTGTTATACCGTTTTTTACCCTTTCCTTTATGTTATAGTAGGTACGTAATTACAAAAAAGAAAATTTTCAACAACTCTATCTAAACACAATTTCTTTCCTACATATATATAATTAGAGTACTGTATTTTGAAAAAACATGATGTGGTCTCTTCATATGGGGCCTCCTTGACCATCGGGGAATTCACGTTTATTTCCGAAGGTGTCCCCGTGTCCCCAAGGTGTCACCGGTGTCGGGCCACCTTGGGATCATGCATATGGTCTCTCTCACCATTTGCACTACTTAAAATTACTAATCTGATAGATTAATTCGAATTAAAGTATAATGAAGGTTAAAGAAAAAGAAATAAACTTTCAGAAAACATATCATAACTCAAAGTTGTACCAATTTAAACTATAAATTACAATATCTTCTCACCCGGAAATTAGTACGACAACTGCAAAAAATTAAGTCACTTCATACAAATACAATGATGGCTATTCAAGGAAATATCTTCCAATTCAGTCTTGTGCACCTCAGATACAAGATTTACAATGCAGCAAGGATATCTTATGATTCAAAATAAATTTAATTTTACTTTGGGGGTGGGCTACGTTAGGAGTACTGGCCACCTTTGGCTTACCGACTTTACTCAATCAAAACGTACTAAATTTTTTAAAAAAAATTTACAATTTTTAGTGACTTCCTTGGGCCTTTCTTGCAGGTCAAAGTTTTTTGAGGTTAGGCTCAATATTAGAAATAGCCACTCTCAGTTCTGTTTCTATATTTCGCCGTGATCTATATTTTGTCTTCAAAGAAGCCACAGCAGAAAATCCAGTTTCACAAAGGTAGGATATTGAAAAGGGTAATAGAATGCGAAATGCCCCTGTTTTCAGTGCAGAAAAATCATCCTCCGGCTCAAAATTCAAATAGTTATTTATTACTAAATTTTATTTTCGCTTCGCCACTTGTCGTGAAGTCTATGAATTTTTCTTCCTCATCAATTGAGAGTCCTTCGGGTGTCTTATGAAATGGATTCCTAACCCACTCGTAACTTGCACTCAGTTTGTTGTCAGCAGGAAAATACCTTTTAAAATTTTTTGCCAGCTAATGATTTTTAATGGTTACAAAATCAACTTTTACAAATTCTTCTTCAGCCTTATAAGTTTTAGTACAATTATCCACATTTGCAAACATTGTTAAGTTCTTTTGCTTTAAATTTCTGCCCCACAATTCCAATTTTCTACAAAAAGCATTAACTTTATCACTCGTATCCAACATATGTGTATTTGCTCCGTGGAGTTGAATATTCAAGTTATTTAATTTCTCGAATATGACGACCAAGTAGCTCAATTTCATCACAAATAAACAATAGTGAAAATTCTCGGCTTCCGGTCTGTTATCTTCTTCTAAGAAAATGACGATTTCTTCTCTTAATTCATAAGTACGTTGCAAAAATTTCTCACGTGATAAACATCTTGCCTCGCATTTAAATAGTAACTCTGAATGTACTAAACTCATGTCATTACAAAGAGCGGAAAAGATTCTCGATCTCAGGGTTCTCATTTTTAAATAATTTGCAACGGTTACAACCGTAGTTAACACAATATTTAAACCAGGACGCATTTTTTTCGAAGCCAAAGCTTCTCTGTGGATCATGCAATGTGTCCAGACGCATTGAGGCGATTTTTGCTTTACAAGTGTTTGTATACTTCCGAACCTTCCGCATATTGAACGAACACCATCGGTGCATATTATGATGCAATTTTTGCATTCTATGTTTGACTCATTCATAACATCATTTAAAATAGCAAATAATGCTAGCGCTGTTTTGAGTTCGATTGATTTGCAGAAAAGTAGTTCTGCTACTGACATGCTATCACAAATTAAATGAGCATCTTTATTAATATCTGTTGCTTCATCAAACTGTATTAAAAACATTTTATCACTCAACATCGAGAAAAGCTGACACTACATTTTCAGCTGCATCACCAATTCGACGAGAACATTTGAAAGAGATATGGACTGTAATTGTTTTGAAAAACTAACTCCAAACTTAGTTTCTACAAGCTCAATTGCTGATGGTTTTTACTTTACTTTTGTTTGGGCAGTTAATTAAAAATAATTTAAAGACAGAATTCAAAATACTCAATACACATTATTGTTGTATACATTTTACTGTAAGTGGGGGGCGCGATGAAAATTATGATTGAAAACTGGGCCGCGAATACTGAAAGGTTGAGAAACGCTGACTTAATTTATAATTTAACAGTGTAGCAATGGGTATGTAAATTACAATGTAAATTAATTTAGGATCGTAATTAATGAGTTTGAATGCTTTGCACAGTTGCTCACAAAATGTTAAAGAAAGTAGTAGTTACAAGTAGTAGTTTTGATTTTAGCTTTTATCTGGAATGTTTTGGAGAATCGCATCTATCAAAATATATGTTTGTAGTTTTTAAGCGTTAAAAGCTGAAGGATTGAAATTTTTAAAATGAGTAATCGTATTCTTTTACCACTTTTTAATTTTTAACGCGGTTTTCTTTAAGCCCGGTGCCATATTTTTAAAAGACAATCTAATAAAATATTTTAGAACATTCTATTTAGCTATTCATTCATTTAGAACACATATTTCATTCTATTAGAACACATTCATTTTATTCTAGTATAGTTATTAAAAAAGAAGTATATTTCATTTAAAGTGAAATTAATTGCAAATTAAATTATATTAACTAGTCTATCGAATTTTCCCCAAAAATTAAAATTAATTATAAAAAAAAAAAAAAAAAAAAAAATGAAATTCAAATCGTGTCATTGAACTAAACTAAATTAATACCACATTGAAAATATTTTGAGAGGAAGAAAAATTGACCACGAAAATAATAACATTATGATGAAAAATATTTGCTATGATATTTATTTTTTATATTTTTTTTCATGAACTACATTAAATAATTACGAATTTTAATTGCAAACAGGTAATATAATATTTAAATTTTGGTTCCTTGAAATAGTTGAATTCAATTTTTTTTAAATATTAAATGATTTTCTTGATTTTTTTAAATAATGAACTTTTAAGATATTACTTGAATTAATTATTTAATGATCTTGATTAAAATTATTAAATGTTCTTATAAAATGAAAAAATTTCTTTTTTCTTTTGTTTTTTTCAAAGGACAGTGACAGAATTATGAAGTTATGAAAAATTATTGAAGAAGGAAATAGTTTCCCTACCACTTTCACCCATATGCTACGCTTATGACGTCTTTTTATTATGAAATTATACTTAAATTGAGGGCTATTTCTTCTCCCTTATCACCCTTTAAGATTAAGTTTTGGAAAGTTGGTAGCGTTCAGCCTAAATAATAAGACAATCAATAGTTGGTTGTCTACCTTTCTGCGCATGCGCTTTGATTGTCAATTGCTGATGATAAGGGTTTTTGTGACAGCGACAAGTAGACGTGTCGAATCTTTTCTTTTTAACAGAAAACTCATTATCTGTATTAAACACTTCATTCATTTCTTTCTGTTGCAGAATTGGATCAAAGATGGTTGACCAAGCAGTTCTCGATAAATTGGAAGCCGGCTTTCGAAAACTTCAAGAGGCAAAGACATGTAAATCTTTGCTTAAAAAACATCTTACGAAGGAAGTCTTTGATAAATTGAAAACCAAGCAAACTGCTATGGGAGCTACTCTTTTGGATGTTATTCAGTCTGGTAAGCATTTTCTTTTTAAAATTAACTTATAGTTGGACTAGTGTTCTTAGGGAATCTGCAGGAAATTAATTTTTATTTTTTAATAGTTTCGAACACATACCGGCTACCGGTTTTGGAATGAATAGATCGCGCGGGTGAATGTTTTCACCTTCTGTACTATAATATTGTTGAGATATAGTTTATCAGAATTAATTTTAAAGTAAAGTTTCTCTCCATAAACATTGCTTGTATTATTCAAAAGAAAGGCTTTCTCTTGTTTTGTTCTTCATGATTTGAATTTTCATGAAAACGTTACGTTTGCAAAAGTGACTAGCTAAATAATGTTTATAAGCGGATGTATCCGTATAGTGATCTGTCGCGACAACTACAATCGCTAAAGTGGCTATTAAATTTTAAACTTGCACATTTTTTAAAAAAAAAAAATTTAATGTTTGCCGGAAGGGGGATTGGGGGGGGGGGAACACGATAGTAAGGGTCAACCTTTCGAGTTTGACCCTTTCTATGATGAATTTTTTTTTTTTTTTAGTTTTATCGCTGGGGCCCCTGCCCGATAGTTGCCAAGACTTGACGATTATTCTGCCACAGATCGCAATACGGAAATCTTCCTGAAGTGACAGATCATGATACAATAATATCCCCAACTGGGGAGTGACAAGTGATAAACTAATAAAAGAAAATAGTATCAACTTGAAGGGTGAGAATGTAGCCATAACAGTACTGTTCCTGTTAACTAAAATCGCTAAAGGTTTTTTGAATTGCAAATATTTGAAGGAAAAAAAAGCAGTTCAGTGATGTGCCATGTCTTTAATAGATTGGTGCAGGTACTGATACGAAAATCATACCCGAATGATATTATTCATACTAACCCCCAGGAAAATATCTAAGGACTTCATATTATTATTAATTTAATTAGTCTTAATATCAAAAGTATTAGCCATATTTCAAAAATTCTTAGCCAAGCGCAAATCTTAACAATATTTTGATTTTTCCCATAGCAAACTTCAAATCTAAATACTGATGTAATAAAAATGTAATTATTTTATAAAATCAAATTAAGAGTCATTTTGCAGTGGGGAGGAGTAATGAGTGGGAGAGGGCAGAAATAATTAAAATGTTTTATCGTCTTAGAGGAAAAGATATAGGAATGGGTTGTAATTAATTTTTGATCGCTTCTTAGATTAGGACAATAATATAAAGATAAAGTAACAATATGTTATTGTCAGGTTATTGTATAATTGTTATTGTTGCGAAAAACATATTTTCTGCAAAAATAGTTGAATGATATGCATTTTGCTACTGCTTAATTTGTTTTATTGACACAAACTGTAGGAGAAAATTTCATCATGATATCGTGTGATTCGGCATTGAGCATGATCTGTATTTTACCATACTTAGTCTCATGCTTACATAATCTTTCTTGTTGCTCACATTATCTGCACTTAATATAGTTCTAATTAGCTATGGTACATATCTAATGGAAATTACTGTAATCAAATAAAAGTGCAGGATTTGTTGAGAAAAATTCCCTTTGACCTTTTTTTTTCCAGATCAAGGGGAATATATATATATATTTATAGAAAACGTCAAAACGCAATTTTTCTTGCAGAATTCACAATTGTATCACATTCAGCGAGGTGGCAAATGCTTTTTGTAGGCCCTGGTATTAGTAAATTTCTTCAGATCTTTTGTTTGGTAAATGTTTAAAAAAAATCAATTAAATAAAATAAATAAATTTTTTCTAAAAATCTTTTTTGCCAACCCTGGTTAAAAAGAAAAAACTTCGCGTCACAGCGATAATAGTATGCAGGTACAGCTTATGGAAATATCCTTTTGATCTAAGTCGAATTGTTGAGGAAAAAAACTTTGTGCAGCTTATGTTTTTTTTTTTGTGTTCCAAAATAAATTAAGTTAAACTTATTTTTAAAGCAAATTTACATTCAATCTATCTACTTAATCAAAAGTGTATATTTCTCATCTTTACATAAGTTTGATTCAAGTTTTTGTATTACCTACCATATGTGGCATTTGCAGTTTTGATGTGTCCCCCGTTATAATTAGAAAACTGAAAGTCCCCCTCAATATTCTAGATGAAATTTTCAGAAAACATCAACTTTTAAACTCTTGAAAGTTGAAATCAAGATAAATAATCATTCAGAAAATGCTTAGTACATTTAAATACTTTTTGGTTGTGTGTGAAATTTAGAGAACTATTGTGACGATGTATTTTAATTTCGATCTCCTTAAAAGTTAGACCTCTGCGTCGCCTACGGCTATACAGAATTCAAAATGATTCAGTAATCACAGAACTCTTAAAATGAGGCACTGAGGGGGTGTTCAGAATTAGTTAAATAGGGTAAAATTTTAGATTCATTGAAAATTAATGAAATATTTTTATTAAGCATATTTTCAGTTCTGATTTTAAAAAATAGAATTTTAAATAGAATACCTTATCTTCTGATTGGCTGTTAATAAGAAATAATTTTAATTGTTAGTTAGATAATGACATTTTGGAACAACTAAGAGAAGAGTAGTATGAAATTAGTGGATATGTAAATAAAAATAATTGTATTTAATTACTAATACTTAATATAATTAATTTTGTTTAATATAATTTATTAAAAAAATATCCTTTGTTAAATATAATTCCTTTAAATAGTAATTTTTATTTCAGCTTAATTTTTAATTTGGAAAACATGTTTCTGAAGTTTTGTGTGATTGCACATATGAAGTTCAGCTGTATTTCTAAAACTGCTGTGGCATATTTCAATTATCTAGGGTTAAATCAATTTAGAAAAATGAAATTGAAGTAAATTTTTTGGAATGCGTAATCAAAGACAATCCATTTGACATTCTATAAATTTTTATTCCGCCTACTACTCTTTGCATAAAAAATAAAAAAAATTCACATAGAAAAAATGCATTTTTTAAAAGATTATTTTTGAATAAAGAAATCAAATCTTTGGCATTAAATATTCATAGTTTTTTGTTAAATTTTAGAATTCAAAAAATGTCTGCAAGTTCAGTTATATTGTAGATTTATTTGTCTTTGAATTTAAAAAAAATAAATTCTTTTTTTCACTAAAATCTTTTATTATTTTTAAACGAATGATGTAAAAATGTATTAAAAGACCAAAAAAAGGAACCTGTAAGATGAGGAGAGAATTATAAAGGGAACAATAAAGCTTATTCTAGAAATTTGATTATTTATACATATAAAATAAATCTTTCATTTTTCTGATAAAGTCTGCTTATCAGGTGTGACATATGTATAGACTACCAAGTTTGTTTAGTGTAAAATAGAAGAATTATGGCTGCAATTCAGATAACACAAAATAAACAAACTTTATCAGGATTTCTTTAGTACGTCAAAAAAAAAAAAAAGAATTAAGTTGGGTGGCTGCTAACAAGTTGCTTATCTTGTCAGTGAAACTGTAAAGTGAATGTTAAATTATTTTAATGACAGATAAATGACAAACATACTTTAAATTATTATTAAATTCGACATAATTTATAATTAATTTTACATTATGATTAACACCCTTCCACTTTTATGTATTAAAAAAAAAGTTAATATTAGGTGGTTCAAGAAGCAATATGTTTGGTCATTTAAAAATTTGAATTCATATGATTTTATGAGTACAAAATTTTTGTAAAAATGATTAAATCTAATCAAGATTAAAGTAATTATATAGAATTTTTAAATGGTGAATTGATGGATTATCCACTAAATTAGCTGTTTACAAAAATGTTGAGTTGAGCACAGAGCGGCTTTGAGGAGAATAGCTCCAGACAAAAAGTCTGGGGCTGTCTGCTGCTATGGTAAGGAGTGAGATAACATTTCTAATGGGGGTGTAATGGAGGAATGAAGGAGTCGATTGGTCCAGATTGGCTGGTTTATCCGAATTCAAGAGACCTCTTCAAATTTTTGAATTAATATTTAGACAATCTTTTGCTTTTTCTTTGGGAGAAAAAATAATCTAGGCTTAAACGAAACCGTATTTTCATTTATACTTTTATTCGATATGCGTTAATTTATTTGGAATTCAGTTGCTATTTATTTATTGGAAATATATATATTTTTGAAATGGTGGTGAAAAACATTTTTTTAATCAACCTCTTTTGTCTCATGAAAAAACTTTTGAGATCTGTTTCGATCAATATTTTTTTCTCTGAAAAAAATTATCTATCTTTCTTTAATCGCTATATTCAAGAGAGGCATTTGATTTTGGTTTCTTATACATAGTTTTTCTTTTTTCATGCGATTAATTTATTAATTTTTGTTAGATACATAAAACTGGAATAAGCATTTCATAAACTGGATACATCATGTCATTTTATTCCTGTCTAAGACTTGACATATTTGTGAAAATATGGCTCTACGGAAATGATGTTTAAAATCTATCAAATTTTATTATTATTTCTAAGACAAATAAAGAACTAAAATTCTATGAATGATTTTGATATCAAAACTTTTTATTAAATTAACATTATTATATAATTATTAGTTTGCTGTTTGTTTTAACAAAAAGCAATTTTCAATTTCAAATTTGTATTTAACTTTTTTTATTATAATTTTTGTTTGTATAAAAAAGAATCTTATTTTCATTCAGCTTTTGAATACCTTTTTTTAAATGATTGCATAAAGCATTTGCACTTCACAAAGGACTATAAGGCTTTAAAAATATCTAACTAAGAAAAGAAATCAAAATTTAAAATGAATTTAAAAATTAATCAATTTAAAAATTAAAAACTCTTTTGAAACATATTAGAATAATGTATTATGCAATTCGAAGAGCAACTTTTTGCTTCAAAGATTTTGTTCTTATTTTAAAATTGTCTTATTGTAATTATAAAAATTGTCTTACTTTGGTATTTGTTTTTTTTTTCTCCATAGGGTAACAAATTACTGAAGAATTTTTGGAAAAGAACACCTTTGAATTTAGTATTCTCTTTACTTCGAATAAATGAAACCCCTTATATTTATTTAAAAATTCGTTCGC